ATTATATATGTAAGTGTCGTTTTAAATGGACAAAATGTACGCAGAGAGTGGAATTTGTATTCGTATTTAAAGATTAGCCTAATTCTTCGCAAAAGGAATTTTTTCATTGTGAAGGGAACCAGTAACAGTAGAAATACACGTATAAGAAAAAAAATTTATGAAAATTTCCAAAATGCAAAAAAAGTGAAAACTGAAAAATTGTTTCATTGCACGTGTTATGCAACATTCGTCAATTTCAATTTTGACAATAGGAAACTGAACTGAGCACAATCAAACTTGAAAGTATTTTAATCGACGAATTTTGTCGATTTATATTAATTCGTACAATAAAGTCATAGCAACAAATTAAACAATGCATCAAAATGTACTGTGAATGTACATGCATATATTACACAAAACGAAAAAAATTGAATGAAATTATTAAAAAAAGGTGAATCAAATTGTTTAATTTTTCAAAACTACTACAATCGTTGCGTTAACATTTTTTAATAAAGCCACAGACATTCCATACAATAGTTATAAATATATTTTCAAATTTTTAAATTATACATGAATTTTTGGGAAGTAATCAAGAAAGTTCTAATTATTTTTTCTGATGTAGGTAAGATTACGAAGATATTTATCAAATAATTATTGTGTAGAGGAAATGTGCACATACCTCGTATGCTCGAAAAAATGTGAACGCCTTTGCATCGCAGATTATAAAAATTACCTGAAAGTAAAAAAAAATCAAATTTTGAACAAAATATGAAATTTTATCGTAGAAAGAAAGAAAAAAAAATATGTTGTTGAGTGTTTCACAATTTTACACAATTATTGTTTGCCGAAGAAAGACCTTTTTGCAGTATAACGAAAAAATTGCAGCATTTGCATAAGCAAGTAGTGGCTCACTATCGTATTCTGCTTTTAAAAGAGTAAAAATGAGCAGAAAAAGCGAGTGCTTAATTGTGAAACTTTTTTATAGTTTGTATACAAGTCGTTTTTCAAATTGGAACGACAATATCAAGCTTCAATTTTACATGGTCACGTCGCGGTTGTCTACATACATATACATATATACGACACAAAAATATACACAATTATGAGAAAGTATATGTACATCATGCTTTAGGTCTTTATTTATCACTGCCGCGAAAATATTTGATAGAAAGTTCAATTTTTAATATTAAATAGGCTACAAGCTGTTAGTTGCCGATTGAGATTTTTGTGGGATAAAAAAATTAAAAAAAAAAAATTCAAAGTATTTTTTAAAAGAAATTAATATATACATTGCTTGGCGAATACGCAGACGAATATTAAAAATTTCACTGTTCATTAAAATTTCACGAAACATAGCTCAGTCGGTAAAATGTTATTATCGCTTTCCCAAAGGCTCTAATTACTCTAAACACCAGTTGAAATGTGTATACATTACTAAAAATATCATAATCAACTCATTCCATATCAATGAATATAAAATATATTGTAACTCATATTGTACGTTGTAAGTATATATATAAAAAAAAAAAATTGTAACATCATATCATAAA